TTAAAAAAATAATTAAAAATATTTAAAATTTTGGATTTTTCGGTTTTGTTCAAATTTTTTAGTTCGAATTTTGGATTTTCGATTTTCGAAGATCGGTTATTTCGGTTCAGTTCGGATTGATTTTTTCAAAAATTTTGGACTTTCAAATCTGTTCGGATTTGGAAAAATCCAAACCAAAAATCCGAATGCTCACCCTAAAAAAAGAAAAAAAAAAAAAAAAAACTAAAAATGAGTCTTTGCAACTGCAACCTGTCTAGCATTTGTAGAATGGGGAAGGTGGATGTTTAGAACTAAAATTTATATTACAATATACTTGTAATTAAAATTACTATATATAATTAAATTTTTATAAAAATAAAGAAATATTAATATTAATAAAAATAAATAATTATTAATTATATAATAATAATAATATACATTATTTTGTATATTTATATTTTAGATTTTGTATTTCTTATCATACAATTATATTTAATTTAAACTATCTTATTATCTAATACACATCAATTTCTTAAAATTAATTTTTTTTTATTTTAATTTAAAATTTAATTTAATTTAATTTAATTACTTAGTAAATTTATTATTTTAATTAATTTTATATTGTAACAATCTTAACAATTATTATTTATATAATTTTACATAATAAATAAATAATAATTATTTTTGAATAAATTTTAAATTTAGAAAAACTTAAAAAAGAAAAAGAAAAATATTGAAAATGAATATACATAAATCGGCGGTTCAAACCGTAACTATCGGTTTTTTAAACCGTAATCGAAACCGTCATTCAGAAGGTTCGGTTTCGGTTTAATATTTTGATAAACCGTATGGTTTGAACCGTTTTTGCATACTTGATATAATGTAAAATTGTTTGTAAATAATACAACAATAAAACCACACTTGGATGTATTGTGGTACATGAACACCAATAATGAGTATTTGACAATCCCCTTTGGTGTATGATAATTTAATTACACACATATCAGAAAACGTATAGAGGCACACAAATTATCAGTTGGGTATATAGTTGATCTCTTGAACCACAATGTCGTAGTATGGTATTATTGTGCTATCAATGTCAATAAAGTTTCAAAAAATAATAATCGAATTGGTATAAAGTAATCGGAGTTTGTTGTTTTGTATCCATTAGACACATACATAATTGATTGTAAATAATACACTAAGACAAAGGGGAAAATATACTAACGTATGTAGACACGAACAAAAAATATGTGATAGTGCTCATTTTTCTATGATACTTTAAAGTAATAGATTTCTAAAAAGTATCAGAGCCATATGAATCATTTTTTAGAGTTTATAATTTATGTATCGAAGCACATGCACGTGGTAGCGTAGGTTCCAATCTATCAAGGTCACTTTTGGTCATATGATAAATCATAACAAGTATTAACATAAGCTATGAAGTTACACAGTTAGAAAATTATGTCACAAGATTATGATGTTCAGTTACATAAAAGACTGCAGTAGGTACACAACTAGTAGAATTTCGTACACGAAATCAGGTTGGGGGTACGACTTAGCTGCTCTAGAGTACTCACCTACTTAGCCGAGTCAGACCCTATGCTTAGATGCTCTTGACCAAAAGTTGTTATATACGCTACAGTGTGAATTAATATGTAATAGATTTAAAGATTTTCAATTTGTGGTAGCAATCATGTAATCTAACAATCAATATAATTCAACTTAGTCACTTATGACTTTGTTAGACATCTACTAGTTGAGATTGAACTATAATAGTACATATATCATACAACCTATTTAAGTTATTTTTGACTTGGTTAACCATTCATAATAAATATGTGTTGTTTACCTTTTCTGACAATTTAAGGTGTCATAGGAAAACTATCATAATGAACGCATTCTTAGTTATCGTTAACAAGTGAATATTTTGAACAAAAAACGATTGTTCTCCAATCACATGTTATCAGAGCATATATACTCTTTACTAAAGCACATGAGACTATTATTATAAATAGTTAAGATCCACCTTAGGGTATGTAGATATATTATGTAGGTACATAAGAATGTGATTTGGGTACAAACACTTATATGCGAGGTATAAATAATGGTTTCTTAGGTATTATTTGTGTATTATCGGGTATCTTCAAGTGTAGTTAATTTCAGTCATTTCCATGGAAATGAGTCAATTCGCGTATTCGGTGAGAACACTTCTCCTCTCGGCCTTGGTGAACTAAATGTTGTTGTGTGTGCTATGGTGTGGATTACTACGTAATATGTTTAAAAAATAATCAATTTGTGAGAGTAGTGATGCATGAGTAACAACCAACAAACTTATCAACGTCATTTCTTACTTGTTTAGCCATCTATAGTAAACATGTGTTCTTTTCTTTACTTACATGTCAGGGAGTCGTGAGAACACAATAACGATGAATTTATCTCTGGTTACTAAGAGCAATTAAATATGTTGAACCAAACACGGCCAATTTTTCCAACCATATATAACCAGAGCATATATACGCGTTAGCGGAGCATATGACTTTATATTGCAAGTACATAAAAATTGGTATATGCATGAGTGTTTAGGACGTGTGTTTGAATGTTATAAATAGAATTGTTGAATAAAAAAAAAAAAAAATTGACTCTATTTATTTTTATTGGTTCTTTTAAAAAATTAAATTTATTTTTTTAATAAAATTATATTTATATTTATTTTATTTTCACGTTTAAAATAAAAAAAATAATAACATTAGTAAAGATTTTTAAAAAAAAATAATACAAAATTGTGACATATATTTAATATAAATATTTTGATAGGAAAATTTTTAATTTTATTTTCTTGTAAATTTTATTTTCTATAGAATAAGGTTGTTTGTTTTTTTGTAAAAGACTTCAACATATTTTTCTACAAAAATAATATATTACACGCACTCATTATATTTATATTATCTACACATTTATATATATACATAGTAAGTATTTAAAATACATAGAATACTATAAATAAATTTTATTACTAGTATTAATATTTTAAAAAATTGTATCTTATATATACCATTTTAAATATTTAATAGAATAATTATATATATAGATAGATAAATAGATATTTTGCTAATATTACGTTGAATCATATAATAAAGTTTATATTATGTATAATATTTACATAATATTTTATATTATATTAAATATAATTATGAATTTTGTATAAAAATAATATAAATTATTAATATCAAATTTTTTCATTTTATAGGTAGAATTAAAAGAGTAAGTAAACTAATATTGATAAAATGAAATATATAATTATGGTTGATTGTGCACCTTTTTTTTTTCAGTCAATATTTTTATATCATTGTCTTTTTCGGAAGATATGGCTTCGGCGCTACTACAGCGCTTCGCTAACTCGAAGCGCCTCGCTATGAGAATCTAGCTTCGCTAACGCTCGGCTAAGTCTTGAACCTTCGCGTTGACCGTTCGCTTTCTCGTCGCGTCAGCGTTTTCTCATTGCGCGGAGCCCCAACCATGATTAATTTATATACTCCATTTATTGACAAGATTAATTTATTTTTGTGCCAAATTTATTATGACTCTATTTATGCACGTAATATTTGTACGATATCTTCCATTTTTAAGCAGATTTTGCATTAATGGTTGATATTTATTACAAAAATTAACATATGTGCATAATTAAATACCGTATATTTATTTTATTGAAATTTTATTTTCTTTCAAAATACATGATGTTTAATTTAATTTAGGCATTTAATTTTTAATACCTATATCTACAAATATCCTAATCGTGTCCACCCCTGTGCCAAATTGATTGTTATTTCTTAAAGTGAGATAATAAAATTTTGAGTGAATAAAATTGTTTAGTATAAATGAATTATATATAAATTTAACGAAAAAAAAAAAAAACGGCTGAAAGGAGTAATACTTCTAAAAAATTATATAATTTGATTTTAATCGATAATAAGATAATTTCTTAACTATTAATATGAAAAAAAAATTAAAATATAAATAATCACATTTATAAATACCGATAAGAAATAATATATACTCATATAAAAATATTATAAATAAAATATAAACATAAATTATTCAGAGAAAATTTTAAATTATTAAAATTTGTTGAATTAAATAATTAATTTTGATAGAAAAATAAAAAAGAGCAAAAAAAACAATATAAAGAATACAAAAATAGAAGAAAAAATAAATATAAAATATAAATTGCATATAGAGTGTTTAATATAGAATAATTGTCTTCACTCGTCACTAGGATATAAAAAATATATAATATTTTATAATATACATGATATATTTTGTCAGTCAAATAAATAATAGACAAATTTAATAATTGAATATATAAAGAATATATTTTGCATTTTTTTTTTAATTTTCTACACCACCTCACAATAAAATATGATTCTAATTATTATTTTTATTTATTTATTTTTTAAAAATACATAAGTAAATGTATATATAATGTAAATAGAGGTATATAAATAGAATAGTTAATAAAGTGAAAAATAATATAAGTAAAGCGGGATAATTATACGTATATAAAATAATATTAAGAGTATTTAGATATATTTTAGAAGTATATTAAATTTATACTATATAGATAAAAAAAATATATAAAATAAGAACTAATATTAAATTAAATAGGTAAAGAAGAAAGTTAAATAATTTTTTTTTATAGCAGAGACTGAATTATAATTTAATGGGACTGACTTGATGTACAGACCAACTTACGCTATAATTATAATTGACAAAAAGAGTAAGTAGTAAATCAGTGGCAATCACACTGGTTGGTCAACAAATGACTGATTAGCCTTCAAAACTAAGAAAAGCTTTACACATAGCCTCACAATCATCATCATGTCATCGGCAAACAAAGGCTACTTTTAACGGCCACTTACAGCGAGGGCATTCCTGTAATTCCGCCACCAATGACAGCAACGTCTTAGCGGCGGCCGAAGACATCATATCATATCATATCGTCATGATATGTACTATATATATAAAAGGAGATGCCTCCGTCGGCTGGATTCACTTCCTCTGCCGCTCCTCCTCTGGGTTTAAGGCTTTGGAGTTTGGTTCGAAAAAGAGGGGAAAAAAACAGAAGGAAAAAGTAAAAGGACGAAGCAGCAGCAGCAGGTCTTGGAATCCCTCAGAGCGAGATGGAAGAGGGGTCTAGCCTGGGAAGGGGAAGTGCAAAAAAGGGTGAGAAAAATGGATCTGAATTGGAACCCAAGATCGAGCCATTCGTTTCGGAAAGAGGGCATGACCCTAAGGAGTTAAGATCATGGGCTAAGAGGACAGGCTTTGTGTCAACATTCTCAGGTGAGGCTGAGACTGGGACTGAGAGGAGGGAATTGAGTGAGGGGAGGAGGAGGAGGAATGGTGGGGGTGGGGTGGGTAGTAGGTTAGATTTGGAGAAGGGTATTGCGGAGAGGAGTGAGCCGTCGATGATATCTCCCAAGATTGAGATTGATCCCATTTTGGGGAGGAGGACCACTAGGAAGCCCCCGGAGATCCAACAGGTTGGCGCGGATGGGGATGGGGGTGGGGATGGTGGCGGCTTCAGAGTTGCCATGGATGCTGGAGGGGGACTGTCGAATGGGAGTGAGGCTGTTGCTGCTTCTGCGGCGGAGAAGATTGGTGATGGGGAGTCCCGTGGCGTCGATGGAGGATGGCATCCCTCTTCCTCTCCCTCTTCCTCGCCGAGAATGGTGTTGGGATTGAAGGATAATCCCGGTTATGGTTAGATTTGATAGATATATACACGATAGATACTCTTTCTTGCTATTCTATCCTGATCCTGAATGCTTGCTTCCTTCTTCATCTTTGAATCCAGCAATTAACAATTTACAATATGACATTTTGTGTTCTCTCTCTCTCTCTATATATATACACACATATATATATGGAAATCCAATAAGTAATTTTATTTCATTTCATTTTCTAGTTTACTGTGATATTTGTTGGCTGATGAGATGAGGGTGGAGGGGGGAGGGGGGGGGGGTGGTCAGTGGTCACCGTACTATGTCTATTAGTGTTCCAGTTTAGAAGCTCCGGGGGACCGAATACAAAATGTTTGTGTTCGATGTTAATATTGGCAAACAAGGCTTGTGTTTGTTTGTTAAGTATTCGAGTTTTTGTCTAGTGTTCAAGCTCCTTTCGGTAAACAATTTCATTGTTCGAACTTGTGTTTGTGTTCGGTTTGATTAATCACGTTTTTGAGCTCATTCGATATGATATTTCATTTTTAAATTAATGATTATATATATATTACAAATATGTCACTTTAACAAACGTTTCTAAATGTTTGCGAACAAGGCTGAGCTTGCATGTTAATAAAATGAGTCTATTTATGTTGTTCAGTTCAACTCGTTTACGTTTGCGAACGAGGTTAAACGTAGTCGAATCCGAGCCAAGTATATAAACGACATGATTGGCTTAACAACTCTAAATCTAAATAGCAATAATAGAATAATCAATGAGAAAAGTAACACATGCCGACATACACACATTTACGCGTGTAGAGTTGATATATGTTTAGTATACAACTGATTTATGTCCTGTGTTCCTCTAAAGTGACTGCTCTTTTGATTTGCAGTGGCTGCCATATTTTATGGGCTGCAGCACTATTTATCCTTGGCTGGTTCTATTATTTTCATTCCTCTGCTCTTTGTACCAGCAATGGGTGGAACTGATGTAAGCATATATAATACATACACTAGCACTATTATGGGATCAAAAATTTCACCATCGGTTCCTCTATTATACTGATACAATTACAGAAGGATACAGCCACAGTAATTTCCACTATGTTGCTGCTGTCGGGCACCACAACTTTACTGCATACACACTTTGGCACTCGGCTTCCTTTGGTTCAAGGCAGTTCGTTCGTTTATTTGGCTCCTGCACTCATCATCATGAATTCACGAGAACTCCGGAATCTTACCGAACATGTAAGGCTTAAAAGCAAAATCTCATGCTCTTAAACTATAAAATCAGTATAGTTTGGATCAATTTGATTTTCTATGGAGAGGCAAGGCCATCGTGTGCTGCATTCACCTTTATCCTGGATAAGAGTCACTGCAGGTGCATCCTGGCTCAAATGTGAACCAGTCAGTCTGTTATTTTTATTGAGAAAACAAGATTTATTTGTTTATATATATTCTAATCTAAGCTCCATGATTTTCTTTTGTAATATGTTTTCCTTAGTGGTTGTTAAATCTTTCTTATAAATGATTGTATCTCTAAAAAATTTTCTACAGAGATTCAGGCATATTATGAGAGAACTACAAGGTGCAATAATCATTGGCTCGATTTTCCAATGCATCATGGGTTTGAGTGGCATGATGTCTTTATTGTTGAGGTAGCCTTGAAAATGTTTTTTATTGTCGTCTCCGGTTCCCTTATTCCTATTTTAGGACAATGTATGCTTCTCATAGATTGGGAGTGCTTCTTATCCACTCGGACTTAACATGTCCAATTTTGCTGCAGGTTCATAAACCCGGTCGTGGTTGTGCCCACAGTGGTAGCTATGGGGTTAGCATTTTTTAGCTTCGGCTTCCCTCAAGCCGGTGCTTGTGTGGAAATCAGCCTTCCCGAGATCTTTTTGGTTCTTCTTTTTACCTTGGTAAGCATATTCTTATAAAATGATATACCTACTTCCCATGAAGATATGGGTGTAAGATTTTGCATTCCATTCGATTCCAATTCCATTTCTCTAACAAACATCTGTATAGTAGCTTGCTTTATAACTTGCTAATTGTAGCTCCCTTGTATTTGCTGCAGTATCTTAGAGGAGTATCCATTTTTGGCAATAGGATATTTCGAATCTATGCGGTATGTATGTATTGTGGATTTCAAATTTGCTTCTTGTGGAGATATCTGTCTACATTCCTTTCCTTACATTCAGTGTTCTTTCTATATTATATTATCTTATATTATCCAAACGGATGGATGGACCATTTGCTGCAGGTTCCCCTAAGTGTCCTTGTTATATGGGCATACGCCTTCTTTTTAACTGCTGGCGGGGCTTATAACTACAAAGGTTGCAGGGCAGACATACCGAGCTCGAACATCCTCATTGATGCATGTAGGAAGCATGCATATACAATGAAGCACTGCCGGACCGATGTTTCCAATGCAATGAAGATGGCCGCGTGGGTCAGGATTCCATACCCCTTACAATGGGGCGTTCCCCTCTTCCGGTTGCGAACGTCAATCATAATGATTTGTGTATCACTTGTTGCTTCTGTCGACTCAGTCAGTGACCGACTACTTTCTCTCAGATATCATCATCATCGCCTATTTGTAAATTCTAATCTAAAAGAAAAGCTGCAGCCCTTTTGCTTCCAGTTTATGACAAACAATTCTTCATTGCCTATTAAAGGTATGAATCAGGTGAATTGATGATGATCAATACGTGCAGGTCGGGACCTATCACATTGTGTCCATGAGAATCAACTCAAAGGCTCCGACCCCTGGTGTTGTCAGCAGAGGAATTGGGGTTGAGGGTTTTTGCAGCGTATTGGCAGGACTTTGGGGCTCGGGTACCGGCTCAACTACCTTGATAGAGAATGTGCACACTATCAATGTAACTAAGGTTGCCAGCCGAAAAGTCATAGAGGTCGGAGCCCTATTTTTGATTGTCTTCTCATTTATAGGTACTAAAAATGAAACCACCCCCACCCTGTAATTCAATCTGTTTCAATTGAATTAATATCGTGAGTGCAATCCATTATATAGATATATGTATATATGATCATCGATCTCATGATATGCTATCATAGACAAGGCCAACACTAGGGACTTCATTTCTTTTTATCTATCTATCTATCTATCTATCAACTTCATTGTTTGTAGGTAAAGTTGGGGCTATTCTTGCATCCATACCGCAAGCCTTAGCAGCAGCAGTGCTGTGCTTTATGTGGGGGCTCATGGTGGCGTTGGGGGTATCGACGCTGCAATATAATCAGACAGCAGCAAGCTTCAGGAACATAAGTATAGTAGGTGCTTCACTGTTCCTTGGATTGTCTGTCCCTGCATACTTTCAGCAATATCTGCCAGAAGTCAGTCTGATTCTACCTGCGTATCTGATCCCATATTCAGCAGCTTCTGATGGGCCAATCCGATCCGGAAGTAATGAAGTAAGTACAAAAGAAAGAAAGAAAGAAAGTGCACATGAGATTCATGTCTTATCATGTAGTAACACAAACGCTAACACTAACAACCAACCTCTTTCATTTTGCTTAGGTATATAGTGTAATTTTTGTTGCTTGCATATAGATTAGCTGTTCTGATTATATATATTTTATTTCAGGTGGACTTTGCGCTGAACGGGCTTCTTTCCCTCAACATGGTGGTGGCATTCCTCATAGCGCTGCTGCTCGACAACACGGCCCCAGCCACCTCCCAAGAACGTGGCCGCTACATATGGTCAACTGATCCCGATCCCGATCCCGACTACTACACCCTCTCCCTCTCCCTCTCGAGAAAGATTTCTTGTTGCTTTGGTTGGGCCAAATGTTTGGGTGTGGGAAAAAGAAACAATGGGACTGACTTGGGATGAGATGAGATGAAGATGAAGATGCATTCATTATATATGTATGCAAATTTCATTTACGTTTATAAATTGCACAGGATCTATCCATCTATTAAAATTTTAATGCATCAGATATTTCAATTGCAATTTATAAAAAACATTAGAGCTCCTCCGTTTTCTACACTGGAGGGTTGTAATTTTTTACTAAACTATAGGGTACGCGGTGCTACCGTGCATTATATTGGCTCAATTATTAAAACGCAAAATTGTCTATAATTTTTCGATAGTTTTGAAATTCGGCGTAAATTTTTTATGTACTTTAAAAGCATGGTGTTACTTTATACGTGCATGAAATCTCTTTTTACATTTTTTTGTTTGCGGAGAAGATAATTTTTTATTTATAATTTTTTGTATGGTGAGGGAGTTCTATGAACGTTTTTAAAAGTATATAGATCGTCATGCTATTTTTTTTTGTATAGCTGAATTTTGAAATGACGCTAGAAGTAATTGAACAATTTTACCTTATTTAAATAATATTTATAGTAATTATAACAATTACAAAATTACGTAGACAAAATTGCCACATAAGAGCAACAATAATGAACCTTTTCAAAAAAGCCTTGAAATACACATGTGCCACGGCTTTTTTTTTTTTTAACAATAAATTATAACAATCCGAGTATCTTCCTGATCTTATAATTCAGAAGGGTCCTGAAAAAATTATAGCCATCGAATGAGAATATTGATCAACGGTTGAGAATACATGCAGGGATAGATATGTAATTTGATTTATATATAAATAAAACAACTATCAATTTCAGCGTAAACCAATAAAACACAAATATAGATAGATACTTATAGTGCTCATTATTTGTTTCGGTTCACATAAAAAACGAAAAGAGAATTCCATATTATCTACCGACGTTGATCGAAGAAAAAAATATAGTGGAAAACTTGGAGCGTGGAATAAGATAGAACAAAATAAAGCGCATTCCGGTGAGTTCCAATATGCCTTGGACGAAGATAATGTTCTATAAAGTGCGGAATGCAATAAGTTTTTTCTATTTTTTATCTATCACGAAAGTAACGTACTGACGAATTTTTATTACAACATATCTCTATATTCGGAATATCATATGTTAAAGATACATACATCATAATCATATTATTTATTTAGTATATCAGTAGTTGCACACAAAAATTATTGAATCAATGGCCGAAATAGTGGGTGAATTGCAGGTTTCCAATAGTAAAATGAGATACATTAAATTTATCCTAATTGTCGAACCCAATAGTTGTGATTTGCATTATTTTCTTAGGATGTTTTTACATCGTATTATTTTTTTGTAAAAATTATATAATTATTTGCTTAAAAACAATAAGTTTTGTAACAAAATTTAATCGATTGCTCTGTGAAATCATATTTAAAACCGATAAGATAAGAGCATCATACCTTATCCAAATTTAAAAGTGTTTATATTAATTTGCGCTTAAAATTAGGGTCAACCGAAGAGTTGAAAAAAACCTCCAAATTAAATCATATCCATTATTTTTTTATTATTTTAATCTCTAAAAAACATATACAATATTTATCGAGTCATATAATGCGTAAAAAAGAAAGGCAAGTAATTTAGTTACTCAATATTTACACTGGAACGACATCATAATATTATATTCCGTAAATCATATTACATTAAAATAAATAGTATATTTTATAACGGTGTATATCATCCGATTCTTCAAGTGATAATTATTGGACCAATGCATATTTTTAAACTCCGACGATACGTACACGTCATATTATAGATGCGCACATAGATAAAAAATTTTTTCGTGAGAATACAAATGCAAAAAAAGGCAAAAAATGAGCATCATACATTTACTATTGATGCAATAAAAAATGGTACAAAAATAAATGGCAATAAAGTTGACACCAATAATAAACAAACATGTTTAGAGGATATTGCCCGTCTGTAATACATATAAACATAATGGTGAAAAATATTTTTAACATATTCTATCATTTAAACCTGATCAATGTATTATAACTATGCAATATATAAATCATAAATAGAAATCATAAAATGAAATATATAATAACTATACGTGCAACATCTGCAACTTATATAATTTATATATGATGTATATACCCTTTTTATAAACATAATGGTGAATAATGTATTTAACATAGTCCATCATTTAAACTTGATCAATATATCGTAACTATGTAATATATAAATCATAATATGAACCATAACATGAAATAAAAGTTTGCATAAAAAATTTAGTATCATTAGTCTATCTTGAGTTCAACAACATATGTGTCCTGAATATACATCGTACGAGTTCGAAGACCAACATAAAAATTTTTAGAAATAACTATGCGTATATATATTTTTTTTTCTAAAAAAGACTAATCAAGAATGCACATTAAGCACAAATTACCATAAAAAAATTACGCAGTATTGAAAATACAACCACCAAATCTGTTAATTGTCAACCAATTCTACCTCTCCACCTCCTCCTACCTCACACGACATGGAATCGAGAGCGGATGCAACAAACGTGTTTGACAGCAGTTGGCGCGGCCAGAGAAGTTGTTGTCGGCGGTCTTCAACTGCGGATGTGTAGATAGAAGGGAAATCGATGGCGAAAATGATTGCCGGTGGCGCGGCCAGAGATGTCGCAGCGGCTGTTGTCAAGTGCGGAGGTGTTAATATAAGGGGAATCGAGGGCAAAGGCGGCTAGCGTGTTTGACGGCAGCGGGCACGAGTAGATATGTCGTCATTAGCGGTCGCAGAATGCGTGGTCAATGGAGGAAGGGCGATGAGAAGAGGATGGAGTCTTTGCCGTGGTAAAATTAGGATTAGTAAATAAATTGAGGGTGAGAAGGGTGAAAGAATTATATAATTAATTGTTATTTTATTTATAACAAATAATTCGCGGATTAAAAATATACATCATAATATATTTATGAAAATATCATTCTAGTAAATTATATATGGGGTGTATTTCGTGATAAAACATCATAATAACGTTGTAAAAATATTATCTGTGATAACCGTATAAATTATTATATTTTGAATGTGTACGATTAAGAAAGTAATTATTTGAACACCTTTCTATTTTTAATTAGGATCATTTCTATTTTTAATTAGGTGTGACTTTCCGAATATATAGGAAGTAGTTGAGATAATTGATTTTATTTTATTTTATCAAAGATAATTAAATTGATCGAATGATTGAAATAAATTCAGGATCCTCATGAATTATATATAACATCAAGACGATACTATTATTCAAATTATAAAAATTGCTCATTGTGTGTGTCAAATTATTATTTTTAGATATATTTTTTTAAAGTTTTGTAAAGTAAGACACTAAGTCTTTCGCAAATTTTATATTTATCATTTGGCGCCGAAAAATATTACGCGTCGGTCACGTGCGCATACATGGATTGGCCATTGCAGAGGTGTACCTAGCCGGTGCTGACATGTGAGATGATGTGGCATGTCAGCGACAATTGATGTGGCGGTTATTAAAAAAAAATAAAAATAAAAAGTAATTTTTTAAAACTCCAACTTGACTCGATTGGACCAAATTGAAATAAACACATTCATTAAACAAGATAGCCCCACCTACCGATCGATCTAACTTTTTTCCACCGCGAATTCATCCCTCTTTTTTCATGAACCCTAAAATCACTGCCGCCGCCTTCGCTGACAGACATCGAAACGTTGATAGAAAAGTCTAGCTTTGTTCACCGGAACCGCCTTCATCCCAAAGATGGATGTCTAAATTTCATTAAAGAAAATGATGAGGTGTTGATTGCTGCATTTGGACGGAAAGGGTGGAGATATTCCTGGTGTTAGATTCAAGAAGAAGAAGTTTAGATCTTAATTATTTACATCGAAATCATCTCAATGTTGATTAAATTTTTGTTACTAGATTTGCTTAAGTCAAGAATTGCCGCACACTACCAAAAAAAAATTGCTTTATGCTACGCCCAAAAAATTATAACTAGAGCCAATTTTTTATGCAATTTGCGTTTTTGCGACGATGTAGTGACAACTTTTTTCTGTAATGTATACTCGCGTAACAAATTTTTTTACCACGCAAATTTTCGTAACTATTATTGTCGGTCAATGCACACTGGGATTGGACTTTTATTACGCTTTTTGTCACGGTTTTTTCTCGTAATCAAAGGTCGGCCTTTCTGCACGTATGGCAGGGCTTTTGTCACGTGATAACTTCAAATAATAGCATATTTATCGCTTGATAAAACTATGTATTTCCTGAATTTTTATGCAAGAACAATCACAATATCTGATTTATGACATACTTTATTGATATGTTTCGGTTGATATGATCCAAAGCTCGCTTGTATAGATTATTGATATTTTTAGCCTTTTCAAGCGACGTTCTTTCTGCTCGCGCCCGAGCCAGCCAGCCAGTCAGCCAGACGTCCATCGTTGACGAGCGATGATCTAGAAGTTCCAAGAAATGATTAAGAGAGTGTTTGACAAAAAACTTTCTCAAGAGTTTTTAGCTTGTTGAACAACTTTTAACTGTATGACCAATCAAAAAGATAATTTAAGTGTTTAATAAATTAGTTTTTTTAAACAGCTTATTGGATTCAAAAAGCTGAAAACTTATATTACCCAACGTTTTAGAAGAGCTGTTTCACCTTTATTTTTTTATCCCTTATTGGCCTTAAATTTTATTATTTATTTTACATACATATAAATATATTTTGTATGGCAGTAGTTCTTAATTATTTTAATATATTTTATCTACTAAATTATAATTTTATTCATAAATTGTAAAATAATTAAATTTATATATAATTTAATTTTGTAAATTATACATTTTTTTTTCAAAATTAAAACTTAATTAAAAAATAAATACTATTAATTTATTTATATATATAATTTTATATTAAAAAATACATAAAATATAATAAATTTATTAAAAATTATATATATAATAAATTAATAATAAACAATATATATACAAAAAATTTATTATTTTATATTCTACACCATTTCAATAAAAAAAAAATTATTGATATTTTTTAATAAAAATATTAATTTTTTAAAACCTAAAAATAAAAAAAAAACAAATTTTAATAATACTTTCACAAATCTTAAACGACTAATACCAAAAAATTTTAAAATTTCTAAACTTAAAAGAACACAATTGAATATTA